TTTTCTTTCTTTCTTTCTTTTCATATTCAATGGAAAATTGCAGTGGGTAAGTATCAGTTTACTATTTCACAGTAAAATAATATAATTCGATGCACTCTATGAGGATTATTTCACTTTAAATACTTGTGTGACATTAATGGGTTGACGGAAATGTAACTTTTCTTTCTTTCTTTTCATATTCAATGGAAAATTGCAGCGTGTGAGTATTAGTTTTTCCGACACCGCATATATAATATTTTGAGATGCACTCAACAGCTTGAGATTGTTCTTTTTCTTTACTACTATCAATATAATTTGAACAAAATCTTTTTAACCCCCTGCTCTCTGGATGAATTGTTGCAGTGTGTAAGTATATTTTTATATTTAATTGCATAACATTTACACATACTATTTGTGAGGTCAACTTATTTTTTTTTGATCTGGTGTTTCACCTTGGTCAATGAAATATCACAGAATGTAAATAAGTTTGGCAATAGTTTCTTACAGAAATACATTTTAGACTATAAGCTCAAATTCAAATATCTACTCGAGATAAATTTAGAAAATGGGCATATACCTGTCAATATTCTGCTGCATATGAAAAATAATAATCAATTGGACCCCAAATCGGCAGATGTAGTGTTTTATTATTTTTATTAGCTCCTTGCAAGTTTGGTGAAAAAAATTATTTTTTTGAGCGTGATGCCATTCACAAATATTAATGAGCATGTTAATGTGTACCTGTTCTCCCCACTAATGATAATGTATTGCATACTTGGATATACTTTCTATTGGTTGACAGCAATAAAATATTAGAAATGATACAAAATGTCAGTCACTGATATATCTGAATTCAAATAGTTTGTATATTCACCAGCTTTGTTTTTAGCTCTACTGTCATTGTAGATGAAAGTGGATCTGTTCATATAAAAGTGATTGTTCATACATCGTCGTCCGTCAATAATTGCATTTTCAACTTTTTGAAAACTACCAACTGAATTGCTTTGATACTTGGTATTGAATTAGGCTGGCAGTTTTCAAGAAGTCTTATGGGTGTGTGTTGCTTGGCTCGGCTACCACAATGTTCTTGTTTATTTTCCTCGTAATTCATGAAATAGGTAGCCATTATCAATAATGGTACTACAACAAATCAGAAAGCCAAGACCCTTTTGTGGAAGGGCTCAAAATGGTCCCTTCCTGTTTAAACTTAAATCCAAGTTAGTTGCCAAAGCAAGTCGATCACTCACAAATCTGAAAGTTGTGTGCACCATTTCTTATAGTCCCGAATTTTTATGTCCATGTGCAACAGGGTTAAAGTTCTGGGGAGACAAAGAAATGGCAGGAGACGAAAAATTCTAACAAGAACAATAAGATCCAAACAGACTTGGACTCTAATAATACCATTAGTGACTCGCCACTGTTCAGATTCCTTGGACATCCAAGGTAATATTAGTTTCTCTTGATTAATTGCCAAATTGTCTTACTACAGTAAACCTGGAATCTGCATTGCTGCACCATGAGGCGTGTATTGAAATTGCCAGAGGTTGTATAATGTGTGTTGGTCCATATTATACAGGGAAGTCATCGACAATAAGGACTCTCTTCGGTGAACCCTTTGTGAAGGAATATAAAAGTACAGATGGTATTAAAACGTATGGGCTCGATATATTTAGTTGGATAAAGCGAGGTGAGATTGAATAATATCATTTGTGTAAAACTAGTGTCGTGACACGTGTATTTAAACTCAATTCATCAAAACATGTCAGTATATAACTGTAACAGAATGGCGGCCATTTTGTTTAACAAATGCCATTCCAGGGACATATCTCTATAACACACATTGACCAATTGCACTCAATCTTAACTCGTACATCTTGTATCGTATATATGCACAAGCCTTTGTTTAATGATCCAAGAAAGAGCACCAGCACCAGGCTTTAAGTGCCCTCTTCTGTCAACGAGTATTTCAGGTTCACGCCATGCATACACGCGCCTGTATATTGCTGTTAACTCAAGTACATAAATAAATCATACAATTAAAAAGAGAAGCCACTGCTGTGTAATTAATTTTAAATACTCTATTCAACAATAAACAGTACTTAAATTTAATTGCAGAAATATTACTTATAAATTATTGCATCTTTAATTACAGATAACAATGAATATTTTTGTCATATGAGCGAGGACGAAATTAAAAAGTTACTTGGCGACATTATTCCATTGGTGGAGTGTGATGGCTATGCTAAAACCTCAGAAGCTAATGTCATTACTGAATTACAGCTTGGTAGCGAGAGGCTAGACGATACCTTGCAGCGAATTGACAGAAAGAGGCCAGGAAACTACTCTACTTTTTCATTATGGGATTTTGCAGGACAGAGAATTTACCAGATAAGTCACCAGGTACACTTTATTCAGCCTTGAACATGTCACTTAGATATACACCATTAATGATATTACTTCTGATAAATTGGAAATATATATGTTGACCATGTATTCTATGCATTTTACTAAAAGTATATAATATTCATTCCTGCTACAGATATTCCTAGTAAAGAAGGGTCTTTATATTATTGTGGTTGACATATCTAAATCACTAAATGATACAATTCATTATTCCGAAGATTTGAAATCGTTTACCGAAGATAAAGTAAAAGGTATGTTTGAAGACGATCACAGTGGACTTAACGCATGATTTTTGCAACTAAGATGCGCAGCCAAATTTCCTTGGTGCAGCTTTTTAGCCATTAACCAAACCCACATTGAATCATTGGCATCCATGAAAATCTGAACTTTTTGAAACATTGATACTCTCTCTCTTTTGTGTTAGTGATAAGATCAAAACACCCGGAGTTTGAACACTAATGCCAAGGTTATTTATTTCTCAAACTTTGATGTTTACATCACTATACGCATGCACTTGTTATTGCTAGACCATCATATTGCTTGTTTAAAAGAAAGCGTATTCCATATACATTTGCGACTACGTGATGGGGTTGTGTGACAGTTTTGCTATCATAATGGCACCATGGTATTTTAATCAATCAATTAGCCACAGTGACCTGGGCACTTAAGGTAGCAAGACTATTATTTGTGTTGAAAATTACCATTTTCACATTTATTAGTCCCCGTTCGAAGTCCGAAAACGGGGACTTATAATTCAGTCTCTGTCCGTCCGTGTGTCTGTGCGTCCGTCCAGAGTCGTATCTCAGAATCCCTTGGACCGATTCCGATGACTGGCAGCTATCTTGTTTTTTGAAAATGTTGTATTTTGGACATGCTTTGTCAGTTTTCATTCAAACTTGGTACATATATTATACATGTTAGGATACATGTCCCCGATCGTCCGTGAGTTCCTGAGTCTGTCTGTCCGTCCGTCCGTCCGTGCGTGCGTGTGTCCGTCCGTCTGTCTGTGCGTGCGTCAGTCTGTCCAGCGTCATATTTCAGAATCCTGCGGACCAATTCCGTTCATTCTTTGCATGTGCCTAGTACCTTATGTGGGACATATGCACATGCAGTGGTTTAGCAATTCGATTCAAAATGGCCGACTGGCAGCCATCTTGTTTTTTGAAATGCTTTGGACATGCTTTGTCATTCAAACTTGGTACATGAATTATACATGTTAGGATACATGTCAATGACGATTTATTTGCAATTGGATCAAAGATGGTCAACTGGCAGGCATCTTGTTTTTTATTTTTTTATGCGGTATCTTGGACGTGCTCTGTCAGTTTTCATTCAAATTTGGCACATACATGTACTTTATACATGTTAGGATGCATGTCCATGACAATTTGTTTCAAAATCTGGTCAAGGATGGCTGATTGACAGCCATCTGACTTTTTGGCCTTACTACTATATTTCCACATTTTCATTCGTATTTGACACAAACATCATACATATCAGTGTGTTTCATAATCAGATCAAAGATGGCCGAATAACAGATTTTTTTATTTTGGCCATATTACTATGACACGAAACACATGTTTTGATGTAAATAAACAATCTGTTGTATACGCCACTTGGAACTCAAGTTTCAAGGACACGCTCGCGACAACCCCTCCGCTTTAATATGACGAGCACAAAGAGAACTTAACCGGGACTGCGTCATTTTCAATAACTTGTTAATTGATGAAATGCACTATAAATTTTCATCTGATAAAGTCAACGTAACCTAGAATGTCATGTAAGTTGGTTAAAATGTAGATTTTCTGAAGGGAAGCAAAGCAGCTTCAGTAGTGTTTTCCAAAATCAACAACACAGGTTTAATTTGTGTGCCTATAAGTTTCAAAGATTAACTCAAGACAAAGCAATGTTAGGATGTGTTATCAGTAGCTATCTGACACACAATGAGTGTTTCCAAACATTTGA